ACCACTTTAAGATAGCAAATTAATTCTCCCCTGCAAAAAAAGCAAAGTTTGGCTTAAAATTTTGTTTCTGAAGAAGTTGTGAAAAGCCAGACAATGGCACCAGCCATCCTCCTTGGCGGTTTGGAGCCACCATCTTTAATAAAGCATAACATTATTTCTGATAACTAAGCGCTGCTAGACCCGAGTAGCTTTGCCTCGAATTCTTCTTGCCGAGCGACTTTTGTTTTAAAGCTTTCTGCACCAAGTCATTCAACCTATTAAAAAAAAAATTTCCTTTTCCATCCTGAAGACAGCATTAGCTATTCTACCTCCCGTCCTGAATGCTCAGGCTCTCCCTGGCAGTCAGGGTTGCGTGGGAAGGAGAAGGCTGCGCTGGAGAGCAGGTGGAGGTTAGCTCTGGAGGAACAGGCAAAGAGACATGGGGCCTTTGAAAGGCGGGGAAAAAAAGATCCTGGAGAAGTCTTCAGAGGGGCCGCAGAGGGGAAAACAAAATACAGACCGAAATCAGATGAAGCTCCCGTTATCTTTAACCTGAACAAATGGGCTGTTTCCACCCGAGGCCCGCAGCAGCAGCAGCACTCTTACCAAGGTGTGCCGCTTCATGTGCTCCCGGCGGGTGAACTTCTTCCCGCAGATCTCACAGGGATAGGGTCTTTCTCCCGTGTGGGATCGCATGTGTCTCTTCAGGATGCACTGATGCATGGCTGAAAAACTGCAGTACGGGCACTTGAATTTCTTCCTGATGACTGTGAACTCGTTAACTGTAAGAGAGCAAGCAAAACACGCAGATTACTTTCAGAACGTCTCAGAAAGGTCAGTCTTCTCGTTTACTATTTCACTATTAAATTAGTTCACTGAAATCACACTCTCACCTCTTAACCATCTACAATTTTTTTTTAATCCTTACACTATATTACTGCACTTGTATTATTAAAGCTAAGAACTGCAAGTACCTTCATCAGAGAAGCTTTTGAACAAGCCAGCACACAAACATTTAGCAACAGTCTGTAACACACATTGCCTAACGCTTGCTAAATGGCAAATAAAGAGGGCTGACAATCTGCTATGATTCTGATTTATTGTAACAAATCATCCTAAATATCAAGATCTAAAATTCTAACACTATTATTTGTGGAAGAAGTAGCTAGCCGTGAACAGAAGACTGCAAATGTAACACCCTGCCAGTGCCATGCGCTTTAGTTTTATTTATGGGGCGATGCAAGAACATCATCACACACTCCAGGAGCATTTCAGTGAAGGTGCAGAGACTAAGGATTACCCAGAAGAAAGAGGACAGGTACAACAAACACACTCTACGTTATCCAACTCTCCACTAGTATTACCACTGCGACACGGATACAGAAATACAAAAGGATGCTTAATGTTGAATTACAGCATAACCCTTGCAAGCCTCCTTACAACTGTATATAGCCCTTGATGGACCCTTTTTCTGTCCCTCCCAATTGTATTTTGCTGAACTAGAAAAGGGATGAATTCTTTGAAGCCGTTCTGACACTGTCGATTCTGTTCTTCTTGTCATCTCCTCAGAAGCGCACTGAAAGCAGACCCAGGGGATGCGTACAGTATCGACAGCCCAAGGGTCTAATTTGCCAGAAGAATGCACACAGCAGCAGCGTTGGTATTTCCTTCTCCAAACAAAGTGAAAGTGCAACATGCAAAATACAGCAGGTGAAAACAGAGTATTTGTTACTCCCTGAGGACATCCACTCACTGTAAGTTTGGAAGTGACTGTCCACATGGATATGATTTTAAATCTCTGCCTTCTAATAATTCTATTGCTTTCCATTAGTATGTTAATTTTCACCCACTTTGCTTCTAATTATTGTTATTTCTCAAAGCAATATATTGTTTACATAACAACGAGGGAAAGAAAGCAAGCAAGTTCTAGTTAATCACCTTAAGTATGCTATCGCGTATGTAAATGGCTCTTGGTAAATGAAAACAGTCTATGTAGGAGAGCTAAGGGAATAAGGGAAATACCAGACCTACTATATGGCTGCTAACATACTGAGTACTTTGCAATATTTTTAGATGCTTATTGAAATGTTATCTCCTACAAGTGCCCTACGAGCTGAATATGCAGTGCATGCCTTTAGTATACCACCGATAATGCCCTGGGAGTTACACTGTACACTGGAAAACAGCTACTTAAAAATGGCCTTTTTTTAAGAAAGTCAGTAGGCCAATGTACTCTGTGTCGTTTAAAGCCCAATTTGTGGGCTTTTTTTTTTTTTCCTTTCTGTTTTTAAAATTTACTTTGTCTTGTATTTCCAATACAGGTAAAAACAATGTGAAAAGTAACTACATTTGTCATTCATGTAAAAGTGCAAACTACATGATACTATTAAGAGGCATCTTTAAAAAAGGTAACACCACTCTTTGTAATCAGTTCAACACAAGCTCATCTTAGAAGTAGTACTCCAAGAAGTTTTTTATTGTCCTAATGCAGACTAAAAGCATGGTTCAAGATCTCAAAAGCTGCCGTGATACGAGTTTCATCTTAGCATTTGTTTTGACTACTTGGAATTAAACGAATCCTCCACACAGGTAACTTTGAGGAAAAAACGATTCCTTTGATTAGCAGTTTGAATTGGATCTAATATTCTTATATTCTTTTCTTGTGCTCCTAACTTGCTGCTTTGGGCTGCTCAGCAACTGTGGTGGTCCATCCTACAGGTGATTTTTTTTGGTGGTTTGGTGGGGTTTTTTTCAGCACATTTGGTAAAACTGTCAAGAGAATTTTCTAGCCCAAGGAGAAGGGAAGCAAAAAAAAAAAAAAAGCCTACTCACCTGGGCCATGGCTGCAATACTGACGACAGGGAAAGTGAGCACTAAAGAATATTTTATTCACCCGTCAGTAAAGATTACTCACTGAGATGAGGCAGCATTTTGAAGGGCTGGTTTCACGTGACTATGCACTTGCACTGCTCTGGGAACCTCCCAGAGGAGATACTTTGATGTGGCCTGATGCCCAGCGCCTTGTGAAAGCTCTTGTTGATAACCTAACAACCCAGCCCTTCTCCTACCCCATACCTATCTTCTGATTTACAAGATACTTTTTTTTTTTTAAACAATTAGAATATGAAAACTCTTTCTCTACTACAGGAAAAGCTTTTTTTGCTTTATCTTCTCCTTTGGGTTTGACACCCCCTTGTCTATACAATCAGAGGCAAGGAACCCACTTTCTTCTATAGCAAGTATCAATTTTATGATACAAAGCTATTCATGATAAATACGTTTCTGGCCTGATCTTGTAACTGCTCGATTATTAGCGATAGGCCACACAAACACTTATATTCCCCAGGATCACTATAAACCTATTACTACGGAGTCTAGACAAGGTAAGCAAGCTATAAGCTGATCAAGGGAAGTCAAGAGGGGACACGTAACCCTCCTTCCTCCAGTCCAAGGCCATGTCCAGTACTACTCAACAACACAAACATGCTACACGTATAGACCACAGCTAGCAGGACAAGCTGCTCGGCAAGTCAGGTTTAACCACCTCACTCTGGAAAAAACTGACATGGAGATCCTGAGAGCAAGCAGATCCCAAGATTACGAAGCAAAAGTGCTTTGGAGAAGAGAACACCACAAAATCCCTTATTTCCTATATTGCCAGATTGTACCTGATCCTGTCATTTCCTAAATGAGCAGATGCCTCCTCTCATTTACTGTCCGTACCTGTCCCTTCACTTTATGGCTGAGCTACTGTAGAAGCTGAAAAGGCAACTCCAAAAGTTTGGTGCACAACCTGCACCATTGGCACACTACTTTCACACACTAATAGCCACGTTTCCAACACATGAATGTATTTCCAACAACATATTCATAACACTTTCTGATTTCAAGATCCCTCATGCTTACTTTTGCCCGCACTCAGCTTAAGTCGCTCGAGAATAACATTTTCAAGCTTCTAGTACGCTTATATTTAAAAATAGTCACAGAACACTTTTTGCAACTATAGTTTTATTGAAAACTATTTTTTCACCAAATAGCCATATATTTAGTTCTTGTATCTACAAAAGTAAACACCTGAAAAACAACAGCATTGTTAGAAAAATAACTGTATTGCAAAGTTAACATTTTCACAGTACTGTTAAATATATGCACCCACCAAGTACATATATTTAATGAACAACATACCAACTTTGGTATGAGTATAATCTTTTGTCTAAATGACAATATTTTATAGAGCTTACGTACAGCAGCATTAAGGTCCTAAGAAATAATCTTTAACAAGATCATCACGACTGTTAACAGCAGTGCCGTAGATAACTAGCTACTGGACACAACTACAGGAAGAACAGCACCAAGAACTGGAGAACGTAATACAAACAGTGCCATAGTAAAAATCTATGTCCTTAACTTCACTAAAGTATTTACAGAAGATGTGCATTTTTAAAACCAACACAATAATGGTTGGAAAAAAGCCTTTGGTATCGTCATCTCCAGTAACTGTACTTATTTCACTGAGGCTGCTAAATGAAATAGGCTCCTACATCCCTGACTTGAGAGAAGGAAAAGCACTAGTGATATACTGCCCGATAGAGCTGCTTTGTATTAACTCTGTAAACCCATATGTAGTTAATCATCACTGAAATACTACACTCATTTGGCTATTACGAAGAATTCACAGACTTTAAGAGAATTCTTGTCCACTTAATCCTCATTGTTTTTCAGGTTATAAATAGCAAGGTGCAATGTAACTGTCAAGCTTATACTTCCCATCATCTTCCCATGCCACTTTCTAACACAAAAATCCTGCTTTTAAAAAGTTTTCTACGCGAACTCTGTAAGCCTCTGCTATGTTATACCCTATGGTTAACATTTTAAAAAACCTACTCCTGATCCTGAAGGAAAACACTGGAAATTCTCAGTGTGAAGTCAGGGAAGTACTTTGATGTACAGGCCACGTACAGTACTACTAAAACCTCTATTAGAGAGGATCAGTTGACCTGACTATAGAAAAAGAGAGTTCCATGTGGAATTAAATTCTCAAATATGAGAAAAAATGAACAACCATGAAACATCATTAACTGTTATCATGTCAACGAAGCCTTTTAGAATTTGCTGAAATTACTTTTGCTGGCATCTTACTTTTCCGATTCAGACAAATCCTACCATGCTGCTCCCAAATTTCCAGATTAGACTCATTTTGGTCACAACTTCCTCTTCTGGCTCAGCCTTCTCCTCCCTCACTTGCTGGTTATTTAAGAGCAGAATAAATTATAAGGCAATTAAACTGACATCCGTAACAAGGGAAGCTGACAGACTAAACCATACACATTCACAGACAACCATGATCCACAATGCCAAAGATGTCAATGGGAACAAGAGCAAAAAAGACAGACATGATTTTGCAAAAAAAAATATAAAATTTAAAAAAATGATCGAAGTATGGTGTACTACACCGATTATATAGGAACATATTCTCAACTCTGACCGCACCGTGCCCAAATGAAGAGTAAGAACTAAGCCAAGCAGGGAAACTCCAGCTTCCTAACCCTCAGAAACCCAGCCCTGACGCAGCACAGAGCCATCTCCCTGCACCCCTGACTCACAGCAGGAATGGGCAGAGCAGCGCTGCACCAGAATATATCTGTTCCCTCTCTGCGAGGGCAAGGGCAGGAGGAACTGGATGATCTCTCTCATCTAGCTTTCCGCAGCCAACAGCTTTGCAAGAAACTCTCGCCTGGAGACCTCCAGGCTGCTCAAGTCCACTTTGTGCAATGACCAAACATTTCTCATTTTTGTCTCCCTGAGATACAACACCATTATGAGAAAGAACTTTTCTGAAGAACTCTAAAGATCATTTGCAGAAGTTGCTTTCGTCTCCTCAGCTGTCTCTCTCACACATTAAGGAAAGCAACCCTACAACCCGAGAGCTCAAGCTGCTGACAAGCTGTGCTGTACGCAGAGCAGCTGAGAAGTGCTACGCTTAATTATGCTACTTTTATTTCACAGTTACTATGATCTGGTTTTGAACGTAAATATATAGCAAGAGACAGAAATATTTAATCTTTTAAAAAAATAAATGAATTTCATATAATAAAATAGGAATTACAGTAAGACTGCTACCCTCCAGTAACAACCATTACTGATTTTGTATGTGCACCCTAAGTTGCAATTAGATCTTCTATGTAAAGCCTCCTCTCCTCCGTTTGAACAACATACATCCAGTCTGGCTAAGTTAAATACATCATATGAAACAAACCAGTCAGAAAAATTTACAGAATACCTGAAAACCACAGCCATACTCCAGTGTATTTTTTAAAAAGTCCTAAAAGTACTCAAACATAATACCAATAAAATATACAAGCCTTGCAACAACTTTCAGGCCCAAATAATATACCCTGTTGTACATATGAACAAGCAGCATGTTTTTCTCCTTTCAGTGACATAGAAAACCAGACTTTATAAACAGCTTACAGGGCTGAGCAACCCAGTGCTTTCACAGCTCCGAATCTCAAGCTGAAAAACCCTGAAATGCCCGAATTGTCTAATGGACAGAGCACTAGACCAGAACTCAGAAGACTGAATTCTATTATTAATTCTATTGCTAACACGCTCAACAAGCTGAGGTATGTTATTTTCCCAGAGAATACAAGGAAAACATCACCATTTCTTTTATAAAGCACTTTGAGATCTACTGATAAAAAAGAAGTTTAACGCAGTATAAGCACACAGTATGATCACACCAATAAGATAGCCAAAGTGCCCATAACATGAACTGACAAAAATTATCTTTGCACAAAAATTGCACCGTGGCTGCAGTTACACAATATCTGGAACCAGCACATTATCAACCTGATCAGCTTTGGGGAAGTTACTCTATTACATTACACCTGCGATACGTTTATTTGCAGCACGACAACAATGGAACAATTTGCTTTTCCTAGTTTAAAAGAAGCGTCTCATATTCGCAACAGTAGCTACGCGTCCTCAAGATCCTCGTTTTGTCCTACACTGTCCAAAAGCTACAACCCGCTCAGCTGGGCAGAGCCCAGGTAACACGCTTTCATGTGGTTAGTGAGGTTCTTCTGTGTACCAAAGCCCTTGCCACAGAAGAGACAGACAAAAGTACGCTCGTTTGAGTGCACAGACATAAGATGCCGGTTTAAGTCTGTCTTGTCTCGAAACAGCTTGGCACAGTTAGGACATCGCATCTTCTTACAGTTGAAGTGGATGGTCTTTTCGTGCCGATCCATGTTTGACTTCAGAGTGAAGCTCGCGGGGCATTTGGAGCACTGGAAGCGGGCGAGATGGCCAGGAGGGACGCTGTCAGCAAGGCCAGGCCGGGAGCAGTCAACCAAGTCGAACGGGAGAAGCACGGAGAAAGCGTGCTCGTGGATGTGCTCCTTCAGCTCTTCAGCACACTGGAAAACCCTCCTGCAGAAACCACAGGTCAGCCTCTTGGCTAGGGCTGAATCCAGGAACAGGCCATCAGTGGTTATGTCCATGTCTTCAGATCTCGAGAAACTTGTATCTAAAATAGAAATACACAAACACACGTACAAATCAGTGTTTTCTAGTATAAAAGAATGATAGTTTAAAAAGAATATATATTTTTCTCTCTACTTACCTGAATCAGAGTTATCAAACTGCCAAAGTGCTAAAAATCCATCATAAGTGGCCTGCAAATGAAAAGCAGACTTAAGTTAAGGCAAGCATTTACAAGAACACATTTTTGTAGTTAGTGCTCAGACTCCCATCTTAACATTGCTTTCACCCTTTCTTTAAGTGAGGCTCACTATTTGACTTGGCAACCCTATCTGCCTTTACAAAGCTCTCACTGTCAAAGCAGCTAAATTAACTGGGCCATATTTTGCAAGATTGGGTGTTTTGAAGACAGTAATCAACACGCCTATTTAAGGTCCTGGGTAACTACTCAGTTTCCAGTCTCACTAAGCATCTGTAGCTCACACTCAGGCCAATGGGAAACACTAGATAGAAAATTTCTAGCAGATACAACAGAACTGAAAAATTTTCCCTTAGCCCTACATAGCTACTTTTTTTTTTCCACATAGAAAAGCCCATAGAAAACAAACACCTTCTGCGTAGTTCCCTTTATGCAACGCGCTCTGGCACCGCTGATCCAAATTACAAATAAAAGCTGATTTTTTATTTTTTTTTCATAAACCATTTGCAATATGCCAGTGTGCGGCAGATGGCAACCCTCTATGAGGCAGAGGCATGATGCAGCCTGGGCAGGTCTGCTGGAGACTGGGCAAGCGGCTACCAGCCGTTCTGAGCAGCTCACTTTGCTCTAAGGTGGCTGCAAAGGAAAATCTGTGTTTCCACCCATTTGTTTAATGAAAATAAAGTATCATTCAAAAATATTAAGAAATGCCAGAGAAAGCTATGGATTTTACATCAAACTCCTGTAATACAGAAAGCCAGCCTGCTTCTATCTGAATTTAGACAGTTACAAAGAAACCCAAATGCAAAATGCCAGAAATGGGCAACGGATAGCCGGGGTCTCAGCCACCTTTATGCCATAATTATATTCTTGTATGTAATGTTTTGCAAACAAAGGGATTTACAATAAAAAGGGCTTTATACTTAAAAAAAAAAAATAGTTTTTTGAATGCAAGTGCTGTTGAGGTAAGGCAGAAAAGCTAAAATTAGGACAACACTAGCCCTGACCTCAACAGACTTCTAGTTTTAAAATAACCTGTATTTAAAAAAAAAAAAAAAAAAAGCTAACAGAGCAAAGTATGAGGTATTATGGTCTTTCAAGGTACTCCTAACTGGGTAAAATTTGATTAAACAGATACCTTTGGATTTAAATTTCTTTGCATTTTTCCCCACGATCTTACCTGGGTTGAGGAAGGCACCTCTCCTTTTATCACGGTTTCTGGTGACATTTCACCAGAAGAGCAGATCTCAGGGGGGCTCTGAGTGGCAAGGTGTGATGAAGGCAGCGGGGGAGATGGTGCTTCCACTTTGCCATCACATTCGCCCCTTGAACGATTCAAGTTGGTGCCAGGCCCTGGGGAACACAGGAAACGAATCTCACCCACGTGAACTAGCACCAGCTGGTGGTTTTAAAAATGGCCTTTGCAAAGGCAGAGCACCAGCACTCGCAGCTTATCTTCTGTCAGTGGGAGGGAATGCAGCAGGACAGTGATGCCAGGCTTTTTTTGTTTGTTTTTTTTAAAACTAGCCTCCCCACCCAAAATGCCTCGTCTGCGCGTGGTGTATGTAGTGGAGTTACATCGCATGGCACGGTCACTAAAGAGTCCGTCGGCAGAAAGAAGCACAGTGCAGCACAAATATCCAGAGCAATCACATTTCTGAGAGACGCCTCTTGGAGAAGCACCATTTCAAACGCGTACGTTTCAATCTCCAAGTAACATACACACAAACTTTATTCTACTACTAGCTTTCTTGAAAATTTACGTCAAAGCTTCAGATCTCCAGATTTGACCATGCTGTTTTATTTAATATAGTACTGCCAGTCCTTGATCTCAAAGTGCTTTACAAAAGATGGGAAAAAGTATTCTTTTAATTCTATAGTTAGCAAGCATAGAAGTTCAAATATTTGTACAAAACTATTGAATTATACCTAACAGTCGTTACATTCTAAAAATCCACCGTAAGTTCAAAAGGAGAACATTATTTGTCCAGCCAAAGCAGAACCGTACCCTCTTGACTATACTGTAGCAACAGCCAAATGGTAAACAATATTCCAGAAACTGCACTGATAATCAATGACAAATCTACGTACAAATAAAGACTGTGTAATCAAGATCAGCGTACATTACAAGTTGTTAAACGAACTGTAACAAACACCTTGACTGAATATTGGAATGACATATTGAACAGGTCATTATTTTTGAAAAGCAAGCAGGTGAAATCAGAAGCAAATAAGGCATAAAAGTAAACAAATTCATATTGAAAACACTCTATGCCCTAAAGGCTTTTTTATTTCTAACACAAAAGAGTCTGATTGAAACCTTTACAGATATAAAACACACACTCTTTAATGCAGCTACAAATAACAAGTCAAAGTTTATACTATGTCCGAACACAATACACTGTGATCTGGGTCACAACAAAGCATTTGAGTGAAACCGTACAAAGGTTTCTAAATGCGAACAATCCCAAACTTAACTTTTTATCAGCTATCAAAGGAAATTCTGCTCTTGTGCCACAAGCTGGGTGTTTGATTTACCTTCCTCCGCTTTGATCGCAGACTAAAATCTTTCACAACTTAGTTAACTCTATTCAAGTGTGATAACAATACTTCAAGTTTTCATTCTAGTGGTGCTCATCTATTGCTGTTACAATTTAAAGGCAGGACAACAAAATGCTAAAACCCCATAAATTCAGGATAGGAAAAAATGGGGGAAAAAGCGAATTCATCAGTATTTCCCATTAGACACTGTTACCATGAATCCAGCTCTCCAGGTCCATAGCAGAATTCCTGCCTAGACATCCACACATGCCCTTTTTTTCCCCTGAACATCCCAAACTGATTCAAACTGCCCTGTTTACATTGAAGCTACACACGGTGACCACGGACAACTTAGAGGCATCTCCGTTAAAAGTTAAGGCTACTGAATGAGCAGTGAAATAGAGTAAGGAGAAACAATAAACTCAATCATCCAACATGAGCCACAAAGATGTACAACACAACAAAGTACAAAGATGATTTTTAGAACAATAATTAATATTTATTTGGTTTCCACAACTGCAAGTAACATAAGAAGACAAACCCACAGAAACGCCCCATACTTTGTACACGAGAACGCAAACAGCACCTCAATTTACGTTTTGTCCCACTCTGACTAGTACTGTGAGAAACCCTTTTCCTTCCTAAATTTGTATTGGAATGAATTTAATGAAAAGTATTTTAACTTCTAAATCAGAAATCAAAAGCACTTTCCTTCAGTCAGCTTTGCATATGAAAGATGATGCACTGGTTTAGCAGTATTTATACGAATATAGTATTCTCTGACAGCTGGACAGTAAACTATTGTGGAAAAGAGAAAGGCAAAGGTTGTTATATCTCATTTAAAATTGCATCCATTCTCCCCTAAATCTTCGTTTACCATGTACAAAAATTCCACGCTAAACTGAATACCTTTAACTCCCTCTTGGGAAAGTCGACCACTATGTAAAATGTATTCCTTTAAAATCCAGTGCAAGTATAAATTATTGGCTCCAATGAACCACTAACTAAAAATAACGTATTAGCTGGTTTGCCCAAAAGAAAAGGGCTCTGTGTACCATGTAATCACTTGGACAGCAAGCTTCATAGGAATTGCTTCTATAAACAGTTTCAGTTGCAACAGGGTAAACAGGAAAAGCCAAACTTAGACATATAAAAAAGTATGCAATGTACTATTCTGAAAACATGGAATAGTCGCCCTTTAAGGGAATCAGTCACCCCAAAATCTGAAAGTTTTCTGACTTTTTGTTTCTTTAATGACAAAACAAGGATGTAAATTAACCAACTCATTTTCTAATGAATATTAAAATTCTCATTCTCTTGATTATACTTGGCAAAACCAGCTAAAAAGAGTCAACTAAAGCCTCTGAGACTTTTGGAGATGTGGTGTAACCGTACGGAACTGCTACCAAAGTTCAGTATCATAAATGAAATAAGACACGCATTATTAAACCAAGGAGCTCAATAGAAGAGTGCTGCTGAAACTGGAAATCAGTGAAGAATAACCTGCTTTTACAGACGAACCATGAAAACATGTAAAGACAAGGAAAACTGAACCTCTTATAATGTCTCATCTGGAAGACATCCCCAACAACAAACTATGCAGGTTCACTAACTAACGGATCCCAAGACAACCTCAGTGTTACACATGAATAACTCACACGTACTTTTTTTCTGCAAAACCCACATGTTCTTTAGGTTTCTGACAAGCATATAACAACGTCAATCTTGATCATACACCATGAATGTCATAAATTCTCAGAGCCCTTCAGCTCCAGGTCATCTGGCAACTGTGTTACCCAAATGGCAAGGTATTTAAATTTTCCCTTCTGATTTTAAATTAGTTTGAACTGGTTAACTTCAGAAATGCTGTACTTATGTTTGACTACATCACAGTGATACAACATCCCCCACACATCCTGGGCTTCATTTTCCATCAGCTCAATGTTAAGTAATTTCACACCTCGTACGATTGTTACAATACGCAATGAATTAGGAAAAAAGAACACAGGGTAAAATGAACTATATGGAAGAAAAAATTAAAACTTGGAATGTATGCAGTAACTTGGAGAGTAATTTTCCCTTTAGAAACAGCTCACCAGAATTTTAAGTATGTATAATATACTCTTTGGATCTGTCCACCTCCATTAAGTCTTTTCCTCCAGAAAAGAAAAATAAACGTGAACACTGCTCCTTGAGTCAGTTACTTACTGTAGTGCTTCATAAGAGAATACAAAGACAATCCAGTGATAGCAGTTAAGATTAAAAACACGCTTCACATTTTTTAAACTTAAGAGAGACTGATCACTTAAAATTCTTGAAATTAGTGTGTTTCCTTTTCAAATCAGACAGATGAAAACTGCACTGGTTTTGGTTTTAAAAAAAATAATTTAAAAAATTCTTTTCACTGTGCTCCTGCCTAGTCCCCCTGCCTCTTTTTTTTTTTTTTTTTAATATAACCCAGGACTTGAAATGACTCAACATCCTCAAATTGTGTTTGAAGAAAAATGTGAAAAACACCTACAAAGCTAGCACCAGCCTAGATTGTGCTTTTAGATCTCCAGAATCGTCTTACCACTTGCTTTACTGTCCTTTCATACACTGAAAATTCTCATTAAACTTGATGTCCTATTGTATTCAGTAACGACCACTTAAAAGCAGGCGAGTCTTATATCAGAACATCTTTTTCAAGTGATTAAAATAAATCGTTACCTATGAATCTGAATAAGATGAAAGAAAAATATGTTCTTTAACTCCCTGCTTCTGTAAAAATCCTCTTACCAGGCCACAGCCACATCCACTTACTGGTGTGAGAGCTACAGACCAAGCGAGCAGTCTTCTTTTTGTCTTATACAGTTCACTTTGCTTCCATAAAGATGAGATAACTGAAGCTTAGCTGAATGAAATTCAAGTAATAGTGAGAGGACTGGAAAACAGGGACCTCAAATACAGGCTGGAAGGACCTCCCGAGTCATTGCACCCCTCAATGAGCTATCATTTCCCCCCTTTTCTAAATGTATCAATCTTTACTTTAAACCTAGCTGGTCTTCTGCCTACACCATGCCTGTTCCCAAACTCCACTTCTCAGCTGGGTAGGCAATCTCTAATTTCTAGCCCAAATTTCTCACTGCCTTATACTCATTTGTCTTTACACCAAGTGGTTCTTCATCTTTTAAGTAAAATCTAAAATCCTCCAACCAAGAGAAGGATGATGGATAGAGGGCAGCCCCATCATTATTACAGTTTATCATGACAGAAGATGAAACCGCTGATTTCACCTGTCACGAGTCACAGATTGGAGCACGCGGTGCATAAATCACCCTCGCAGCTGTACATCGATCTACGCTCCCACCCGTCCCGGTGCCAGCTGAGGGCACTCTTCTCACTGCACGCAAGCCCGGCAATTGAACTGCCGCACAGGATCTTTGCTATTTCATTGCAACGAAGGGATTTGCAACCCAGGAGCCTAGTTTGAACCATCTAAATCTGATTTAATTGGAGATCATTCAGTAAGCTAACTACTGTGGAAGAAACAAGAATATTGCATTAGCAACTCCCCCAAACATTTAAGCTACAGAATAAAGTACAAAAATTTTACTTTTTCTCTCTAAATTTTGAAAGATTTTTTTAAAGTAATTTTACTCTTCAGACATGAGAAGCAGAAAGAGATACTAAGACTGACATTATGTTGTGCAGTTACTTCCCTTTATCATACAACTGAAGTGACCATTAGAAGTTATCTATCTTTTGCCATTGAGGAAAGTAAAAATAAAGTAAAATAATAGATATCTTGAGTGAACTTTTCATTCTATTTAATTGGTCAATTTTCTCAGTATAGATTAAAATAAACCTGTTCTGCTGGAAACTAACATGTAGTACTCAGAAAGCCACTGCTTGCTCTATTTTATGTCACAAATTATATCCCCGTCTTCTGAGAGTATTATTAAAATACAGCATTAATAATTTTTCTTTCTTTGGGCACTACAGAATCAAACTATTTTATGATTGCAATGAAGAAAATACAAACATATGCTGAAAAATAAGCTGTCCACACATAATGGTACACATCAGCTGTCGCCAACAGATCATCAGTAGAAAAACATTCGTTTCCATGCATGAGTATAACAAAACAATCAAGAGCTGCTCACTACTTAGAGAGAGGTCTAAAAGTAAACAGCAAGAAGTAAAGATCAAACGATCTACAAAATCACAACTGTTTCAACAAACACAGGAGCAACAGTCAAGCCTTTCAACATTAGTCAGTTTTGGATTCAAAACCTTTGGAGCTACCTCTTTTACCATAAGGACTCAAAGACTTTTTTACGTTGCCTGTAAGTACCATTTTGCAAACAAGCAAAACAGACATTTGAGGACAAGCACTACATACATATGCACTAAATACTTTCTTCCATGGCTTCAGCAGTTAACATTAAAGCTGGATCAGTACCAGACACAGGTTTCCAAATTTTATGGAAAGTGGGATTAAGCAGGACTTGAAACTGGATATAAACATATCAGTAGTAATAAATGAGACAGTGACCTCTATCTTCTTCTCGCTAAAGATTTCACTTAAAGTGTCAGTAAACAAAAAATATAAAAACACAAACTTACGAGAGAGAGAATGCGTGCCTTTGGGTAAGTACTCAAACAGCAGAGAACTATCCTCTCCCAGCATGTCGGCTTTCAGAGACAGCAAACTGTTCTTACTCATGAGAGCTGCTCGCAGGTTGGCGACGGTGGCAGCCTGGAGTGCATCCTCCTTCTCTGGAGTCAGGGGCTGAGAGATGTAGCTGGCTTCCCCACCGATGAGGGCTTCGTCGACGTTCGCGTACGGGTCCGATCGCTCCACTCTGCTGTCAGAGCTGCTGGGCTCTGTTACTGTCACATCAGCACCTGCGTGACGAAAGAAGCCATCAGAGATGCCAACAAATTCCTGAGATGTGGCACACCGACCATACGTGCCTGTCTAACCATGGGTCCAAGTAACTGAGAACCGGGAACTTATCACCACCTATTTTGGCCTTATCGGCACTTTTCACGTGAGTGTTGTTTCTCACCTCCCCTCTTCCAAAAGTCTGAAGATGAACTTGGCCATTCAGAGGCTTGATAGAAAGTGCACACACCCCACAGCTGGGGGTTTCTGTTCTTCCAGCCTGCACCCATCTGCACCCTTCACTTCTGCCCCATCAACAGGTCTTAACTTCAGCACCACACGCTATGAAGGGAATGAGATGTGTACAACCTCCCCCACAACCAAGTAACGGGATAAAACCTCATTTATTTTTTTATTTAAAACTAAGATTTCAGGATAGTCTGCTAGTACTGAAATTACATTCAAATGTTTAAGTAGTGTTTTTTCCACAGTTTTACTCTGGTAGTCCAAATTTTCATTCTTTCATTTCTTCTTGATGATGAAGGTTTTGAAAAACTCCAATAATAAACAGCTTATAATAGTGGACTGCTAATTAGTATAAATCCCTTGGGATCACTTATCTGAAAAATACACATTTTTTTGTTAAAAACAAAAAACAAGGACACAGATTAGCTACTTGACAACAGGTAGCTACAAAGAAGCTGTATAAAAACATAACAGACTATTAACAAAAACATCAATTAGTGAATCCAAATAAAAATGAAAAAAGCTATGATAAGGTTAATTCCTCCCTGCAAAAACACTGTTTATTTTTGTATTTTGGGGGAGGTCTAGTTAAAGATTCTCTCTTCTTTGAACTTTGACTCTTTCATAGTCTTAAATAATTTATGTATTTTTATGTAAAGGAAAGTGACTCTTATAGTCCTCTCTATTCTTCACATGAAACAAAAAATTATCTACAAAAAGGGCTGTTACCCCATTTATAAAGTGCGTAAAACAAACTGCAATTACCTACTCCAGGATTTGCAGCAGCAGAACACAGCTGACATGCTCAAAACCTAGTCGAGTACCTGGCAAACAGGGCTAAAGCTTCCCAACAAATGGATGCCTTTGTAGCATTTATACTATCAAGACATAGATGGAAAAAAATCCAAATCCAAAGAGAAGGCATTGATAATGAGTGATCAGATGGAAAAAAGCTGTTTTGGGGATCCTGAACCTTTTATTGCCTCCTAATTCAAAATATATTCAAATCTACTTAATGCAAGAGGCAACTATTACAGTACAAAATAGTGGTATGACCTGTACAAAATTAACACCCAGCTGCTTTCACAAATTCATCTTGCACTTCTGAGGGCAAGGAATTCAGGTGTTGTCCATATACACCACAGCAATAAACTTATTCCCGTACAGAAGGTTTCACAGCAGCAGAGCTCACGAGAAGGGAAGAGGAAGAGTGTGGCACATTAACACTCGGTTGTAATGTTCAAAAACTTCAAACCAGGGCAAGACATCAATCTGCATACCCTCATTAAAAAAATGCTAATGAGGACGCTGGTACACTGCCTACCTCCTGTAACCTGGAAAACAGCTAAAGGAAGATCATTATTTTTATCTCCCTTTTACAGGTGGTAACTGCCAGAGAAAGACATGGTGACTTGCTCAAGGTGTCCAGCCCGCAGAGCCAGGATCAATCAGTGAATTTCCCAGTCCCAGCCCAGGGCATGGCAGATTCCTTAACATGTTCAGATTCACTTTACCAAGCTGTACTGTACTACCAGTACCTCTTACTGTTAAGTTTTTCCACTTCCTTTAAAAAACAAAAAAAACTCAAAACAAACAATAAGGAAAAAATGATCATTAGCAGAGTACTCCTACACCCCGGAGATGTAAGGAATACCCAAGGCTGGGAGCCACAAACACAGCAGCAGCAACTATGAACTATTAAAGATGCTCTCTCTCTTTAAAACAAACCATTCTCCCTCCCCCATCTGTGTTTTGCTTGTATAATCTCACATGATCAGTTTTATTAAATCTTAGCCAAGCAGAAGAATTCAATTGCTTTGAATTTTTACAAATTTTATCATCCTTCTGTTACTGAGTGAGCAGGTAACAGGTATATGCATTTTTCTAGATGATAATGAAGTTTGTTTTAAAAACAAACATTTCCACAGGAAGGGAAATTATAAGAGTTTAAAAACCAGCAGCTGCTACAAAAGGTGGCGAGGAAAGTAAATTCTAGCCCATTAAACTGGTAATGTAACAGACAGCTTTATCAAATCAAAGCCATGGTAATACTGCTATTCCTCTGCTCTTCACCGCCTATGCAGCAAATCACAGCAAATAACTTGGGCCAGAAAGGGTGTTTGTCAACGGAACGGTGTTGCCAAATAACTGGGCAGGCAGTAAATCACCTTGCGTTTTCTCCCGTCCTTTTTCATAGCCAATTACAGATGCTGATTGACAGTTGCCAGAATCTGTTGCTGCCTGCTGCACATAAACACTAATTGCTAAAACACACGCAGATTAATTGTAACCACAACAAGACATTAAATGTTCCTCAAAAGCCAAGATTAGAGACAGACAGTGAAATAGAGGCTTTAGAGCTTCCAGTATTTATAGCTGATGTAACCTAATCAAATACGCATTACGGCAAAATAAATATCCACTTAGTCACATAAGTACTAAAGTACTCTCAGTACACCAAAACCCAAAAATGCATGAAGTTCCTCTTCACAGCGCCTCCAAAACCACTTCTCTCTTCTCTAGAATACAGTTTCTCTTAACAAGATTTAGCCAAAGAATTATATGAATCAAAAGTATCCGTCACTTCCCAGTAATCTAAACTGTTTACTACAGTGCTTCAACAGTACGTAAACCAAGCTTTAGTAAATGAGCTTCTATTTTACAATTATTCAAGGCAGTGGGTCACGTGGCAGCCTGAGCTCTCCATCCAACTCCTCCACATCTCATTTTTCACACTGCTGAGACAGTCCCTGCGACTGCACGGATTCCAGGCACCGCTCGCAGGAAATCCCGATTGGGGCAGCAAGCTAAACATGGGATTAATGCTGCTCTAAAAAACGGAGCTCATTAGTCTCTTTAGCAAATAATTATTTTGCAGTTATTCTATTACACCAGCCTACTTCCCAAAACACAGAAGCTTTAGAAAAGCTTTATTAGTTTGTTGACTTGGATGAATATTTTTTATTATTTTTTTTTTATTTTCAAATAAAACACAGGGCCCACCTTTTTACAATTTTGGCAACAGTATTTCCATGCATCTCTGAAACTGCGAAAGCAACATTTAACTGGTAAAGTTCTTGCCTACACATGAAAGCCTAATGTCAAAGGAATATAGGAAGCCCGATTATAAGCACCTTCTCACAGAGATCACACATCCCAGCTGAGCACAGCACGGCAAAACACCCTTCATTCCCAACCACAGGCTTTAAGAGATCTATAAACAGGAATAATGCTCACGCCAGTACAACAGGAGCAGTACAACATCCCGAATGCACACAGCGTGGCTACTGCGCAGACATTTATGCTTGGGCAAAACAAAACCGAACTGTATGCTTGCTCTGCAAGGGAAGTACAGCCACAGGAAACTCGTTCGTTTTGCTACACCATGCGAAGCCCAAATCCAGATCAGAAATCCCATTTATCAGCAGGCATGCCCCTTCTACCTTAAAAAAAAAAAAAAAAAAAAGAGAGAGAGAGAGAGAGAGAGAGAGAAAAGAAAAAAAGACTGAAAGTCATATAAACTGAGCTCCTGTCACAAACCCAGGTATGAAAAAACCAAGTTGTACTAGTCAGAAAATCAAGAAGTGCTACAGACATTAGCCCCTTGGGAAGGGCTAAGGCAGAAATAAAGGTGATGTAACTTATAGAAGTATCTGAATGAAATGTTAATGTGATAAATTGTTTTCCAAGATCTAGGAGAAAATTGACAACAAAAAGCATTAAATCTAGGCAAACAACTGAAAAAAATACATGTGCCATTTCAGAAAGACCAAGGAAAAGCTTCTCTATTTTAAAGAATCCATTTGAATACAATCAATCAATGGCTTTAATACACAAATTTTTTTTTCTTCTCTCTGCTTCAATCAGTTTTCCTCATTACAGCTTAAACTCAGCTGTTACCAAACTACCTCCTCAGCGTCTGTTTCTCTCATACCACTTATTTCTTGTTTGTATTGTGTTTTTACCTTCTCATTAAACCCCCAGTGGTGTTTTCTGTTGTTCCCCAGACTCCCAATCCTATTATTCTCTTTCATAATTTGTTTTTTCAATCATTTTTCCATCTTTCAACTTTTATTCCTGCTCTCTCATGTACATAGTTGAATATCTTCTAGAAATCTGTAGCTGGAGAACTAAACCCCTGAGAAGAGAGAAAGGTGTGAATAAAAGCCATACAAGATTACATCTGCTGCCAGAAACTTGAAAGCAGAAACAAGCTCTTCCCCAAGAACTAAAGGCAACGTTTTGCCAGGTCGCTATTCCTCAATATTGCTCTTTTCATTACAGTCTCAAGGCAAGAGGCGATCCAAGAAGTCTGTCATCTGCTCTTCAAAGTCCCTTTCTGTTTGGCAGAGATACAAAGCAGTAATGCTTCTCCCTTGGTCTTCTGAGTTTCCAGGATGATGAGGTCGCATGACATGCATCATCAAGTGACTGCCTACCTAATCAAAGTGACCCAACCGCCAGCAAGGTGGGGGAAGTCAGCCAGCAAATACAGCAGTCCTTGAAAGGAATGCAACAGTATTTAGCTTATCATTTACAGCCAAAGCTTTAAGCCAGTTTCTGCAAGTTCTATCACCCTGGCAAATTTCAGGAAGCTTTTAGGAGCCCTTCAACCTCTCCTCAACTCCCCTCAAATTTAGCGCTTTTTCACACAGCATGAGCCATTGCTCCAAGCATGCCTTTTTGAACGGGAGGTTATCACTGCTCAGCACCTGGAGTAAACTCATCGGATCTGTACAAGTCCCCACAACCTCCAAAGACAACGGCAATTCAA